AACGGCACCACTGGCTCTCTGGTCTGTGATCCACACTTCTTGCCATGGAGTGAGCCTGTCGAGGCTACGTGCGCGATGACGAAGGTTGTATGACTGCCTTGAGGCGACTTTTGTCGTGATTTGGCACTATATAAATAAAATTGAATTGAATTGAAATTGAATGACTGTGCCTCTTTAGTCCTACTCTCCTTCTCTCTCCGGGCGACAACCACACTATCAGGATGTGCAGGGTCAAGCAGAGATAGCAGTATTGGCACTGTGGTGCAAAGCTGTCTCCCCATCAAGAGTTGGGCTGGACTAGCCATTCTGTAGTGGGATGGCTCTGTAAGCGAGTAGAGTCAATTGTGGATCAGCAGCTTTCTGTAATAGGTTCTTGACAGCCTTAACTGCCCGTTTGGCTTCGCCGTTGCTTTGGGGATATTTCAGGCTGCTCATGATGTGACGAAAGCCATACACTTTTGCAAAATGTCCACAGCAGACTCAGCAGCAGCTCATGGTTTGTTTCCATCTGAAAGTGTATGCCAATAAGAAAGCTGCGGAACCTCCCACAAGCCCAGGTCAGACCTAAAGCCTCCTTTTTAACCTGAGCGTATCTCTGTTCTGTTGCAGTGAGGGAACGTGATGCATAGGGAACGGGTCTCCACTCCTCATCCCATCTTTGAAGCTGCACACCCCCTAAGCCATACGATGATGCATCCGCTGACACATTGCAGTCACGGCTTTGGTCATACGTGGCTAACACTGGCGGTGAGGTAAATGCATGTTTCAGGTCCCAAAACACTCTATGTGTCAATGTCCCACCTCCAGCTGTTTTTCTTAGACAGTGAGTCTCTTAAAAGTTTTTGTCTCTCTCTGTAAACTGTGGAAGAAACTTTCCATGGTGGTTAACCATTTCCATTGGGTGCCCTGCATCCGTGCCTGTAATGTCCTTTTTTCCCCACATGCATGGCATTTTATTTCATGTGCAGGACAATCTTGCTTTGAATGTGATGGAGCGCCGCCACATTTTTGACACGTTGCCCCTTTCTTGCCGTCTTCTCAGAACCCACGTGTTTTAGCTTGATGACTATCAGTCTGGAGAGGTTTGATTCTAGCAGGCTTACGACTAATTTTGTGCACTCTATCTATGGACTTAGCATCGATAGCCTCAGCTCTAGAGTCACCTCGTAAGGAGGATTGTTGTTGCTTTACCTCTTCACTTTCTCTCGTCATCTTGATAGCTTTCTGCAGGGTCAAATCTGGGTCAAGCTGCATGTGTTCTGACAGCCGTTTGTCCATGAGACCGACAACGAGCCTGTCGCGTATCAGTTCATCATGTAGCCCTCCACAGTTGCAGTGCTCTGCTAGTGCATACAGTGCAGTCACAAAAGCATCCACCATCTCATTTTCTCCCTGTCAGCGCATGTTGAATTTGGAAAATTCGTAGATCACATTTTTTTTCACAATGAAAGAGGCCTGGAATCCATCACGTACCCCCACGTACGTTGTCCTTTGCTCAGCTGTTAAACTCAGACCGCTGTTGTGCCAAAGTAGGTATCCCTGACAGAATTTGTTTTCCCTGCGTCGGGAGCACACAGGAAGTACTGATGCTTTACTTTTGTGAAAAAGTTAACAATTACTATCGTTGCATTACCATTCAGTTTGAGGGTTACAACAGAGAATTGTATATATTTAGTGTTCTCACGTGGTGACGGGATTATTTTAACACAAGAACATTTTGCCTGATAATTGTTTTTATCCTCCTGTAACTTTAGTGTATAAAGAGCTAAATCCTCCAAAGTTTCCGGAGTAATACCTCATAATAAGAAGTGTTTGTGTACTACAAATCAGGAATATGGGATACTGTTTGTCCATGATTTACACAGGAGGGACAAATTGTGGCAGGATCATCCTGATATTATTTGTATCCCACTATAACTTTCCCGTATAAAGAGGTAACATCTCAAAAATTTCAGGAGTAGTTAGTCATTATAAGAAGTGTTTGTAAAGTAAAAATCAACACTCTGGGATACTGTTTGTCCTTGATTTGGACAGCCCAGCGTTTGCTCCCGACGCAAAACAAATTACAAACTACTTTGGCACGACACCAGCGTTCTCTGTGCACTTTCATCCCTCTAGCTGCCATCAGGCCTAACTACACTGACTGGCTCTATTAACATCTACTGTGCAATGCAATTACACCACAGAACTATGATCTCAAACACAAAAGCAAATCTGCAACCGAAAGGCTGAAAGGAAATAATTAAGGTGTTGCAATGGTCAGTTGTCAAACTCGAGACCTAAACCTGATTGAAATCCTGTACTAACGTAAAGAGAGCTGTGGATAAATGAGTACTCACAAACCTTAATGAAATCAAGAAATGCAGTAATGATCAGATATTTTGTGTGGTAAAACTGATGTCATTTCTGATGTCATACCACAAGGCAACAGTATCTATTTTGTAGGGACTGAAGGCATGATCTCTATGGTAGGAAGGTGAAAAAAGATATAGCCTGGTGTGCTGTACATTCTACTTGCCTAAAGTAAAGGAAAATTAATAGAGGTATGTTGCAGGGGCTTAAATGACTCATTCTGCAGAAGTACAGAGACAAACAGTGCCAGGAGCAAAATTCCAAGCTTAAGTGCATTGTAGAAAACGATATGTTTGAAGCTGATAGAAAATGTCAACAGTAAGTGGCACACCTTCCAGCTGTATATCTGAAACCAAGCAGGATGTAAGAAAGGTAATGTTATTGCTCACAATAGCAGGGCCTCAGATTATTGAAGTGTTCAACACATTCATATGCAGCAAACCAGATTAGGATGAAGGGAAGTTTGATAAAGTTATCTCGAAGTTTGATGCCCATTGTCCTCCTAAATATACTAAAACATCTAAGATATAAATTTTTCACTTACAAATTCAATACCAATGTGTGTCTTTTGAAACCTTTCTGATAAACCTGAAGCTCATGTACAACTTTGCTACACTAAGTGACTCTACACTATTGACATTGGGGACAAAAATTCCCCAAAAGAGGCTTCTGAGGGAAATCAACATGGCATTGAAAAGATTATTAAAGCATGTGAGTTTTCACATCAGTATGTCAAGAAATGCAGCGAAATGGCCACAAATGCCGTCAGTGACATCTCTACTGCGGGAGCAGGTCCCAGCCAAAGAGGGAGATGCACACATGCAGTCTGAAAAAAGGATCTTTGACTGACTTGTCACAAAGAAACTAGAAATTGGTGCATTAATATGAACACTGAAAGAGATATCCTGGTAAAAAAAAAAAAAAAAGACTCCAATATTCCTTAGAGTTACAAAAAAACAACTCAATCACTTCTAATCCTACCCTTCAGTATTTTTAAGAAACTGAGAGAAGATTTAGCAGAAATGAGAATTACCTGAGCTGCTGGTGAGTGGGTTCATCGCTCTGCACAGAAACGGAACTTTCAGATGTGAACTCCGTTGCACTCTGTAAACTATAAAGATATATATATTTAGTGTAAAAACTTTATAAGCATTCACTGAGCAGTCAACGCTTTGCTCAACTATTGAAACTTTTTATGGAAATGCACTTTTTATCTATACACTGTGGTTTATTGTAACAGAAAGAGATCAGTAAGATATTTTATATTAGTAAGAACAATGTTTACTGTTTCCATTTTGATTCCTCATCTCTAAAGACGAGAGGTTGAATCCTGGATCGATCACTCTTAATGGAGACACATCTGGGACCCGTGGACTCGGCAACACTTTTCTGTGAACTAAGACGAAAGTTTATTTAACACTTTATTGATGTCGAGAGAAGTCACCTACACTTTACACATTTAATGCAAAAACTGCAGGGGAAATCCTGAGACCACTCAACTGCACTAAAAAAAAACATTTTTCACAAATCAAATATGCTGTCAGCAAAACACACATGATACACATCACACATACAGTAAACGACACCCTAAACAAGTAAAACATCAGGATTTCCATTAAATGTATTTAAACATTTTACAACCCTGTTTATTAAATTGATAACACAACATATAAAATGTAAATATAAACAGAATCCTGTGACATACATTGGAATAATTGGAAATAGCACAAAGACGACACATCAAACATTGAAACTAGGAAAATGTATTTATTTATTGAACAAAGTAGTCTACTTTTTAAATTGAATGCCAGCAGCGCATTTCAGTAAGATGAAACAGGGGTGTGTTTACTGCTGTGATACATCGTCTTTCTCTGAGAGACTGATGACACTAAGTGTTGGAAAACATTATTCTTTAAATTCAGATGTTTTCAAACCCCAACTTTACTTCTGAAGAATGTCTTGCAAATCATTTGATTTTGCATTTATTTACATTTTACACTCTTTCCCTCTGCTTTGGAAACATGGCTACATGTGATGATTTATGAATAGTTGAGTAATACCTGGCTGACGGCTCACAAGGTTCAGAAGCTGTTGTTGAAAGCTTCCTCTTCTTCTCCTCAGACATATCTGAACAGGCACCTGCTGCAGAAAAATGCATCCTTGAAATACTAATTTGATAACACGATCCTTCCTCATTAGGTTATGAGTCATTATGAGACATTATAAGTCCAAGTTCACTGAGAAACTATCATGTTTGTATTGAAATAAGGGGTTCAACATAATCAGTGGCCTGTAGTATGAACCAGGAGTTTAGCTTATCCAGGACTTCAGGATGAACCTTGGGTTAACCCTGCGACCCAGCTCACTTGCTGTGTATCATCCAAAGCAGGTCAAGTTTCAGATTAGAGACTAACAGATACTAAATCACCACCTACTGAACAATCAGTTCTCCAGAAAATAGTAAAAAGTAAGAAGTGAATCACCTTCACAGTACAGAAATCCAAGGTTATTCCTGAAGGTACCTGCATAAGTCAAAATCCAGCTTTGTTGTATAGGCCTCTATACATAGGTTACAGGATCCTGCCATGACTTCAGTCTTTACTGTTAAACCCTTAAACTGCACTAAGTCTGCAGCTGAGAGAATAAAAGCTTTAACTGTCTGGAGCAAGTTATATCAAAATACCGGGTCTTCAAAAATTGTCAACAATGTTTTCACTGATTCTCTATTTTACAGCATGTATTAAGTGTGATATAGATTATCTGATGTGGCAATACATTTTATATGTTTTGTTTAGCCGTCCTTAAAGCCACTAAATGAAGTACAGATTTTGTTATAAGTATCTAATCTGAATCTAATCTATGTCAAACTGATGGTTTTTTTGTTGTTTTTTTAGGCTTTGGAATTGTAAGCTTTAAAGTTTAAAAGGATCCAGTTTATATTTCCAGAGCTCTGATGGGCACCTATCACCTTAAGACATAAACAGCAGCACTGAGAGCTTGGTTATACAATTTTAATTAAAATGTTTGTTTTCCCATCATGTGCATTAAATCATCATATTAATGATTTTCTGCACAAACAGTGTTAGTTTTTAAGGTATTTAGAAAGTTCTGATCAGAATTTTATCATCATCATGTAATATCTCTAATAAAATGTTGCACTCATAGGGGTCACTTTGCGCGGTGGAAGAGTCATATGACCCATGAAACGGCTCTTTTACATTGATGCTGCCAAGACCACCCTGTTCTTGTGAACGTGTAGGGCCGGCATGGGGAATTCCAGGCCTCAAGGGCTGGTGTCCTATAGGTTTTAGATTTGACCTTGATCCAACACATCTTATTTAAATTGCTAAATTATCTCTTCAATATGTCTTGAAGTTCTCCAGAAACCTGGTAATGAAGAGGGTGATATCTAAACCTGCAAGACACCGGCCCTTGAGGGCATCTCCCATTTTGACCTCGGGACTTCCAG